AGTCCGTTGTAAAAGTCAAATGGTCCGCTCTAAATCGGAAAATGGTCCGTAAGTCTTGATTAGTTTGATCATGTTTTGACCTTTTCTTAAGCAATTTTTCGAAATTTTTTCTTTCAGAATGACTGAATTTAAACCATTTATTCCGAACACTTTATTTCCCATATAAATTTTTTAATTTTTCGAACACTTGGTAGAGAACGAGTAAAATTTCGACATATTGGTACACAGCGAAATAGCAAACATATTTTGCTGATTATTGCAAATATTCTTATTGCAATATGTAATCAGCTATCATCGACTGCACACTTCCATGTGTTGATTGTTCGTTTTTAATGAATCTGCCGAACACACGACTTGTCTATAAATTCTAAAATGTTCTTCTAAAAAACAGTAATTCTTGTTGTGGCGTTCTTATACGTTAAATAAGCAGAAAAACGTGTATCACTGTGTCCAGTTCTAAATTCAACATGTCATCGTTTAGAGCTCTTAAAAACACTACACATATAGTAATTTGGCCATTTGTAAGACATGATGAAATTTTGGTCCCGTCGTTTTTGACAATCGAAACCAGCTTCACTATTCAAAAATCGGTCATCTTTGGCATATCGGCATTTTCAAAAGCCTTGAAGTTATTTATTTGATTAATACATCATTCGAAAGCGACATTCTTCGAGCATCTAAGATGGGCCTACACTTTAGTAGATTCAGTTTTAATTTTTATGAAAATGCATCAACCATATGACAACGCTGGACTGATTATAGTTGAATGAAAATTTTCGCCTCGCTACGCGCGCCTAATTTTAACTTTTTAACCACCTTAAATATGTTTGAATTTACTAGTTTAACTGTTGAAGGGCCAATATCGTGATTAACCGACATTTGTTTGAATAATCACTGGATCTTAGTATTTTTGACACTTTAAATAAACTTCGTTCGCACAATAGTTAAAGAACACCCCTTGTATTTTTTTCGAAATTCTCGTCCGTTCTAAAAAATCCTTAAAATAATCCATGTCTTGAAATCAAAAAGGAACAATGGCATCAAAGGATCAAGCCATGAATTAGTAAAATTAGAGCAAAAATTCGGCAAAATAGACGGGAAAAAAGTCCAACTTTGCTTCATTTTCAATCGATTAATCACTATTAAGATTTGTGTTCGTTTAGAGATTAACGAAAAGTGTAGAAAATGAAAAAAAAGAAGACAAAAATCCTCGGCCGAATTTCATTTCGGCATTTCAAAAGCGAAATGTTATCCTTTAATTATGATCATTTAATCAGTCGATCAGTTTTTGCAATGCCTTTATCAATGATCCAATGAGTGTTGGGCTTGTCTAAGCGGAAGTCAGATGGTATTTTGCGATAGGATAATGGTTTGCCAAAGTAATTTTGGGATTTTACTTCAATTTTCTAATCCAAATTGATTACTTCAACTGCCTTTTTTTCATGTTTGCCGCATAAAAGTCGCCGCAAAAGTGGCTCTAGCCGGCAACATTTAAGCATCGAGAGAAAATAAGCCAGTAATTACTGTTTGTTCTTGCTTTGTGCAAGGCGTCTTGACGCCTGCCATTAAAGGCGATGCACACATAAAATCGGCAAAATATCGCACCTCCAAGGTCGGAACTAGATGGAAAATTTGAGGCTCCGTGGTCAAAAGTGTTTAACGTCTCTGAAACGATTTGTTATTCTCCATTTTTTCGCACCTTTTCTTTGATCTCAACAACTTAAATGACTAACTATTAAGTAAATTAACATGATTCAAACCAAAGAAGAGAGAGAAAACAACCTGAGCACAAGTTGGCTAAAATTGGTACAAAATGTAATTTTGTTTGGGCCAAGCCACACGCGTCGCTTAGAAAACTCCAATGCTAAGACTACCGTATCGGCGTCATTCCTTTGAAATGCGTCGAAAATGATACGTTGGCAAAATTGCTAAATTCAAACAATGGCCAAATTACCTTGGAACAACAACAAGAAGAAGCTAAATAGTTTTATTGCACATTCGACAACATTATAGTTTCATGGGTCATAAACAGTAATGATAGGGTAATTGGTGGATTGCTGCATTTTCGGTGCGATTGATGCATACATTCGGCAGTCCATTCATGGTCAAGCGCGGTAGCTTTCATTTCGGTTCGTTTCTTCCCCTGATCGTCGATTAGACGCTGATCGGCCAATCAATGGCATTTCAACTTGCTGGAATGGCTTTTTTTTCCATTTGCAATTTATCACTCACTCTCTCTTTCACTCATCAATCTATCAAACAAACACACTTGCTCGATTTTTCCATCTCTCTCCCTCTCTATCCCTGCCTCTTTCCGTCTCTCTCCAACTACATCAGCCTCCTCTCCAACTACATCGTTGAACAAATGTTGTTCGTTAAAGGAAATTAAGTCGAAGAACAAGCGAGATCAATTAGAAAAATTATACCGACACAAAGGAATGCGAACGTGATGTTGCGCCAAATCGAAACACGAACTAATGAGATTTTTTTTTTTGCTCTCGGTGGTAAACCAAATATCATTTTAATGCAATCATCATAATGAAATTGCAACGAAAACATTCCGCTCGGCACAGATGTCAACCGGTCATTATTGATATTTAATGAATGAATGCTATCAGAAGCTGTGCATTCATCAATGCAACTATTTTTCGACCTCATTGCACTTCTGTTGATTTCTCGGAGATTTTGAATGCTGTTTATTTGTTGCATGCTGCAGAATTGTGAAAAGTCGCCAGAATTTCGTACAAAAATCGTAACAATCTCTTCGTTAATCGAATGAATTGCGAAAATTGTTGGAAAAAATGGTCAAACCTTCAAATATTCGTGAGAATAATTGAAACAATTGCAAAAAATCGAAAAAAAATTGTAAGCGTAATTGAAAAAAAAAATCGTGGTAATGACCAAAAAATCGCCAAAATGTAAAACATTCCAAAGTTGTTTATGACAACAAACCCGAATTTGCAGAAAAAAAAACGGAATTATGAAGAAAAATCACAATCCTGACAAAGGCTCTATGTGAACATCCCATGTTGTCGATGAAAATAGCATTTTTTGTCTTTTCGGCACGAGAGAAGTAGTGTACTGGGGTGAAAAGATCATTGAATTCAGGATTTCTCTAAGAATTGCCACACTTTATGACTTGGAAAACGATCGGCAACTGCCAATTTTTCATCCATGTGATAATACCGCCAACATAGCAAAAAACCCGAATGCGTCGTGTTAATTCCAAGCGGATGCTGTTGCCGGGGAGGTCCAATTCACCTATTATTGCGCTGCTGCTGCTATGTCTAGGTCGGAACAACACACAAAAAAGCGTCTTGAGTATCAAAAATGCCGCGCTTTATGATTATAGCGCTGTTTTTGTATTTGGGTCTTGTGCACAGAATGAAAAGAATGAACAGAAGAAGAAGTAGATGAAGAGAGAGAGAGAGAGAGAGAGAGAGAGAGAGAGAAAACAACCAGCAGGATTGATTTATTGACCAAATATGATGTGAATACGAAGAAAGCAAAGCAAGCCAGAAGAGAAACAAGACACTTTGTTCTCGGCCATCAATGCACGTGCGCCGATCAACTATTTCTTTCGTTTATTGTTCATGAATGACTGCATTCATCCAATCGGTATGGGACGGGCAAGAGAGACATAAGAGGAGACCGAGCAAGAGGGCAATTGATAATGCTGTAGAGAGGAGAGAGAGAGAGACAAAAATGACCTCCGATGATCAGAATTCACTGAAATGTCGGTCGCTCTTTCATTTGACAAAAAGAGCACGCACCGAAAATCAGAGAATCATTGAAATTCGAACGATAAAGCAAAAGGCCAACACGATATCACAAGACATTGGACTCACGCGATCCTTTTGTTTTGCGCATCGCGCTGCTTGAATTCTTCCACCAAGTTTCGGTTGATCTGAGCACGTGCGCCATCATTCACTTGAAGTGAAACAATTTTTTTTTCGTGGTAACTTAGATTGCGTTTCAAAAAAAGATAATACGCAATGATTTTGATCGAATTGACACATTTTTCAGAAAAAAAAAAATAATAAAGCCGCTTTTGGCTGATGAAAGCGAACCACTTTGGAAAAAAAATCTCTTATCATGGTCAATCTGGAACCAGTTTTTCTTAAATTGATTGAGTTTTGATGGTTTTTCAGCTTTTAATCCATTTTTTGTGCCGCAAATCATAATGTCCGGTCTTCCGGATCGAATTTAAATGCAATAAACCGTGAAAACTAACTATGACACATGGACGTATCACTTCCACCTTCTTTTACATTGTTTCATTTATGATCAGAATATTTGTGACATCGCTTCATCCGAAAATCGCATGATTCAGTACAGGCATATGGTTCAATGTAGCTAGAGAACTAATGTTATACCGAAAGTTTCGGTAGTCTTGATGAGGAATTATTTCTTGGATATTTGAAGTTATTAATTTCTGTAAATAGGCTTTTAAAATTGTTCTTAGTATTTCAACGGTTGGAATAGTTACAGCGTTGAAGAAAATCAAAATAGGAATGCACTAGTGTATTTAAATGATGTAAGCTGTCGTTAAAATTAAGGTGTAAGCAATTTCATCCAAATTTTCTTTTTTTTTTGTGTAAAGGCTCAATTACTTCAGAAAACATTCACCACCAATCCCGAAAATACATGGAACCGTTGAGTTCAGATATATTATTCAACATGTTTAGCATAATTCATTGGAATCAAATGGAGCAAGCATTTTGTTAAATATCCAAATCATCAAGTTTTTTATTTTTCCCTTGGATGGTTTTGTGCACTCGATGAAAAATCCACAAAATTGACATTATCGTAGGAATCGCAAAATAGAGTTCTCCGTAGTGTCGATTGAATTTCGCAGTCAACTCGTTTATTCTCGTTTATCGATTAAATCTAGAATCAAATCATAGTCACGCGAAAAACACTTTTATCGAATTTTCTTCGAATCATAGTATACATTTCACAACATAAAAATCAAATCATAGAGAAAATGTCATTACTGATCATAATTTCAGACAATTCTGAACTAATTCCGAGAAATAAATAAATCCCAAAAACATTAAAAAACGAACAAAAACTACAATTTTTGAACGAATACATAAAAATTCCTTTGAAAATAATTTCAATTGTTAAATACAATTATAAAAAAAAATACCAAAAATAATTTGAACGAACACAACAAGGTTGTACACAAGCTGGAGAGAAAAAAAAACATTTGAGAAAGCAAAACAAAAATCAAGAACTTCAAATTAACTTGTCGAGACAACCAAATTCTAATTGTGACAAGTGGATTTGAACCATGAAAATATCCGTACTAGTTTTAGCAACTTCCATAGCGGTGGCTATTGGATTCGACAATGGAACAATGATTAACAGACAGCCTCGCGTGGGTGGTGGTAGTGCGGTTGGTATCGAAAAAGCACCTTATATGGCGTATGTATCTGCGTATGTTGAAGGATTGGAGAGTTTTTTGTGCAGCGGGGTTATTCTCTCTGAACAATCAGTACTTACTTCAAGTAGATGTGCCACGGCATGTCAAACAATTCTAGGACAAGCAATAGGTAGACAATCAAAATCAGAGTGTCGAGTTTCTGTTGGAACGACCGGCGGCGAAAAAGATGGCAGCCCAGTTACGCGTTGTGTTCAAGATGAGGCAAGTGGCTTAGGTATTTTGTTTACTACGATTTCCTTATCGGAAAAAGCGAAAAAAATCGAGATACCCGACAAAGAAACAGCCGATGGTACCGGGATCCTAGTTTCTAGCTATTTTAATGTGAGTTTTTGGAATGCATTGCCAAATATAAAAGACATTTTTCTCCTCCAGAATATTTTTGAATCATTACTCATGTTTATTCAAAGGTGGGGGGAGGAATACGTTTAAACCAGGCGGAAGGTAAAGTGAAAATAGGAGCAGATAAAAAAACAGCAACTGTGGAACCAAAAACTGTGTATGCTTGCTGTGAAACGGCTATGGCTTCGAAAGATCATTCCCAATTGATAGCATTTTCGGTAACCATAGAGGTAAATTTTCATACATAAATTGCTTTGGATGAAAATATTATATTTTGTATCTTTTTTTTTCAGTGTAAGGAAGGTAAGAACTATTAGATAGAGATTAAAGCTTGTGAAAATTTCATGTTCAATTGGTGTAAATTCATTTTCTTCCAATTTTCCATTTCATTTTTATTTCTAGGAACACCATTCGTCCTAATTTATCCACATCGTGATTGGATTAATACAAATTTTGGACACCGTGTACAAGACACCAGCATGATCATTGGAGCCCTCCTCCTGGAAATGGTTGTCGTTGCCATTGCTAATATTACATTCAATTGAAGTTCATTGTTAAAATGCAAGATTCATTTGATAAATCATCAATAAATAACTAATGTGTTCAACTCTAATAGCGAGATAAAATAAGGCATTTGTTTTTATTGCGAATTAAACGATTTGATATTTTTGAACCAGCTTCAATTCTCACACTTTTTATCGTTTATTGTTTTATATAATCTCTGATTGCGTTTAGAGAGCTGAATTGATGAATTTGTCTTTGGAAATATTTTCATTGAAACAACGCACACGTATTTATGACATGTCCGGTAAACAACTTCGAAGTTGATTATGCATAGTGGGTTTGAACCGGTCTCAAACATACTTTTATATCATTTAAAAAAATCACACAGAAATTGCTATTCAAAAATGGGTATATTTTGTATACTTTTAAATTTAATAATGCCTTGAAAGTTTTATACACTCAAAAGTTTTATACACTTCGGTATAAGAATAAAATGACAGCAATTGCAGATTGGGTTATCGCAGGTAACTTGTTTATTTTGTGCTTCAAATCATATCGTGAGTGCAATTCAATCTAAAATCAAATCATAGTGAGCGTAAATGCAAAAATTCTTCTGAACAAATTTTCCTCGAATCGTAGCATAAATTTAACAATATCATGGAGAAACCTTCATTACTGATCATGAATCCAAACCGAACAGTCTTTTGAAGCTTAATACATTCCGAAAACGAATTAAACCAAGAACTCAACACTCTAAATAAAAATTTAATAAATCCTTAGAACAATTTTAATATATATAAACCAATCCATTGGGAAAAGACACTCAGATGTCGAAATAATCAAGAGAAATTTAATTAAATGTGAATATAATAAAAAAATAACATTTAAACACAAAAAGAAATCGTTCTTAAAACAAAAAATCACGGCATTTCAATTCGAATAGTCGAAAAAGAACAAACAATCGAATTGTGATAAGTGAAATCGAGCCATCAAAATATCTGTGCTATTTGTGACAATGTGTGTTGCGATGGCTATCGCATTTGAAATTGGAAGAAATATCAAAGCATTGCAGTCACGTATTCACGGCGGAAACAAGATTCCAATTGAAAAAGCCCCTTACATTGCAGGAATAGTTCTTCATATAAGAGACTCAGGCGGGATCCCAGATATTACAGAGGGTAAATTCCCCTCATGCACTGGTACTATCTTTTCTGCTAACTCAATACTCACTTTTAAAATGTGTGCAAGGGCATGTCAAGGAATGATAGATCTTACAAATAGTCAAGATACTAGTTTTGATGGAGAGTGTTGGGTTGTTGTTGGAGTGACTACGCCGTATAGCACTGCAAAAATAGTTTCAAAGCTCAGATACCCCTATCGGATAATGTTAGAGCAATCAAAACAACTGAGAGAGACGTTTAGAAAGGAGAAGAGGTCATTATTTCAGGCTATGATTATGGCGAAGTAAGTTCTGTGAAATTTTTTTACTTTTTAAAGAGTATTTTTAACCAAAAAACTATTTTTATTTTGCGAAATTGTTGTGTGGTTTTTCATTTTATTATTTGCAGTTTGGCTATCCTTTAAAACAGGCAACGGTTACTGTATCCATAACTAATGAAGAACATGCATATATTTATTCAGAAAACTATATGCTTGTATAGGATCGTCTATGGTCAATGATAAACACAAACTAGTAGGAATTTCAGACTTTGATGTAATTTTAAAAATATTTAGTTACTTTGATTAAACTTATTTTCTTTATCTTCTCTTCGATCTTATTTTCAGTGTTTCGAAGGTAATGAAACATTTCTCTATTAAAAGGGTCGATGTCTTTGGAACACCCTGTTTGATCGGACATTATGTAAATGTTTTGATCAAAATTTTCATTTCATATTATTTCTTAGCCACATATTTCATCAAAACTGACCCTTACCGTGAATGGATTGAAGAAACCATAAGAAAAAATGAACAAAGTTGGGGACATGACACCAGCATGATTATTGTAATCATTTTCATGGAAATGATTATCGTTGCTATTGCTAACTTTGCAAGTTAATCACTCAATTAAAGTTCATTGTTGAAATGCAAAATGCATTATACTTTTAATGAAAAATTATCAATGAACAACCGTGTTCTAGTCTAATATGGAGATTAAATAAAACATTTTTTTCATCAATCACAGAATAAAATATCAAATCATATCACGACTGCAATTAAATCTAAAATTTAACCATAGCTAACCGAACAATTTTTGAACCGTAGTATTCAATCAATAATATCATAAAGAAAGCTGTTCATAAATCCAAACGAAACAGCCTTTGAAATTAAATCAGCACCAAAATAAAGAGTCCAAAAACATTAAAAAAAAAAACAAAAAAAAAAGCTTCAAAACAATTCGAACACATATATTCCAGCACAACCATTGAGAAAAGACACTCAGTCGTCGAAATAATCAACAGAAAACCAATTATCAAAAAAATAATTGAAAAAAAAACGCCAAAAACTCATTTGAACTAACACGAAAAAATATTCAAAGACAAAAAATCATTCAAAAATAGAATCACGGCATTTCAATTCGAATAGTTGGAAATGAACAAACAATCCAATTTTGACACATAAAATCGAATCATGAGAATATCTGTGCTTTTTTTTGCAATGTGTGTTGCGATGGCTACCGCATTTGAAATTGGAACAAAAATCAAAGCATTGCAGTCACGCATTCACGGTGGCAACGAGATCACAATTGACAAAGCCCCTTACACTGCAGGAATAATTCTCCATATAAGAAATCCAGCTGAAGTGGAGATTCCATTAGGGGATAACAACATCGGCAGTGGAATTATCTTGTCTGCTAAATCAATACTCACTGTAAGCGGGCTTGCAGAAATATGTCAAATAGTGATAGATCGTACAAATGATCAAAATGATCGTTTTGACAGAGAGTTTCGCGTTGTTGTTGGAGTGGCATTTCTGGAAGGTTCTGGCTACATCGTTTCACATGGCATTTTTGACACGCTATTTGGAATTTTGCGCGCTCAGATACCACTATCTAATAATGTTAGAGCAATCAAAATATCCAAGAGAGACATTCGAAAAGGAGATGACGTCATTATATCAGGCTATGATTATGAAGTGGTTAGTTATTGAAATGTGTTTATTTAATAAAGCGTTTATCAAATTGTTTTGCGATACTGTTCACATTTCATTATTTTCAGTTTGGTTCACCTTTAAGTCAGGCAAATGCTAAAATATCCGAAACCTATAAGTACTTTGTATTTATTGATTCAAAAGAAGCACACGGTTGTTTTGGTTCGTTTATGGTCAATAGCAATAACGAATTAGTAGGAATTTCAATGGATAATGTAATTTTCAAAGTATTATTGGCTACGACCAATGATTAACTCTTCTTTTTAATCCGATTTTCAGTGTGTCCCGGGTAATGTAAATAAAGAAGAAAAAAAGTCGACATCTCTGAATAGAGGGTGCTTGCTTGACATTATTCAAATGTTTTCATACAAATTTTCATTTCATATTGTTTTTTAGAAACATATTTCATCACAACTTACCCTTATCGTGAATGGACTCGAGACTGAGGAATTGTCATTGGCAACCGTATCAAAATCCATCCAAATTACATTGGCAGCCATCTCTAGGTAAACCGAATGGTGCAAGTTTGAATCTCCCTTTGAATTAATGTTGTGTTTATCTTTTATCAACCAAACATAAGCTTGACTTGGCTTCAATGCCATAAGGTTATCCTTCAATGCTAGTATAAATCGCGACTCGTCGATGCATCGAATAAAATTGCATGGGCTTTTCATTCAGGTGGAAAAAGGTCGCGTATTGAATATTCGAAATTTGATCGGTTTAACGTCTGGCCTTGGCAGCACTGACCAGATGAACCGCATCATGTGACATAGAGCCCATGGACGATCCATTTTTTTTTTGCAATGATTGATTCTCAATATCATAACAAGGACTCAGCCAAATTATTGCACCGGAAAAAAATGTTGTCAAGGTTAAAATAATATCATAATCGCGAATGAGCATCAAAGATTAGCCACAACAAAAGTGTATCGAAAATCTAACTTTTTTGGCATGAAAACGGATGTGAAATGAATATCGTCGATTGAAAGAAAAAATGAAATTTTGCACGAAAATGTAGGAAGAAGTCGATCAGTATATGAAATTCGGTTAAAAATCCAACTTTAACACAAAATTGTGCAAAAACAAAGTACATGTTTGCTTAATTGCGTAAGGTAAGTACAGCAAATGAATCAAAATCAGTCGAAATCGAAAATTCTAGATCAAAGTTTTCCTCCGCGGAAGAAAATATCGTTCACACAGCAGTACACCTATTCTCCCAAACTGTGAGATTTTTTTTCAGCGAAAAACGACGTGTTTTTTTCCTCTGAAATTTAGTCAAAAGGTGCCATCTGCGACTCATTCACAGGAAACAATTCAACATAATCAGAATAATCTTTAGAAAAAAAAGCATATATCTGTTTAGCGATCTGTGAAAAACACAGTTTGAAATCCGTCAAAGAGCGTCAATTCACAATGTTGAATGCAAATGGAAGCGATTGCTATTTTTCCATCATTATGAGTTATTTTTTTTCAATGTCTGGCTGCATTGAATTCAGCGAACAGCTTATCGATTGTGTGTGTATGTATTTTTGACCAAAATTTGATACGGTAGGAATAAATCTTCTGGAAATTGTGAGCAACGTGAATAATGTAAAAACCAAACAATGTTCGCTTGCATTGAATACACCGAGAAAAATAGAAAGAAAAATTAATGTTCACTTTGTGTTCGATTGGAAAAGCTGGCTCCTATCATTCAAAAAAGAAGACGGATATGTGAAATGAGAACATTCAGTTGGACCGTGACTAAAAACACCGTTCAAATGGATTTCTATTTATTCATGATTTTTGGCATTTTCCGCGATTCGATACGCACATTTGTGCCATCATCATTCTCTCTGCCGTTCCTTATGCACTTTGTTTTCGATTTTCGTCTTTTCTCTTCTATTTCTTTTTGTTTCTTTTGTAGGTTTTGGGATGTGTTTTTTTTTCTTCTTTCGGTTCGTTTTGACGCATGTTCGTAGTCGTTTACAATCTGATTTCATCCTTATGGGTTTAGTGAGGTATAAATGGATTAGAGCAGCAAGAGTAGCCGTTTCGGATCATTTGAAAATGAAAGTAACCCAATTAGCATATTGAACTCATTATTTTCGATGGTACGACTGATTAGAAATTGTGAAAAATGAGAAAATTGTGCCTCGTTTACCAATTGAAAAATGCGTCTGCACGACTGAGTCAGTCTATGGCTTGAAAAACCAATTCATATCTTTACACATTTTTTAATGGAATAGATTTTGTCGATTTTGAAGCTGTCACCATTAATCTTTAATCCAGAGACGAAAAAAAATGCAGCTCTAATGAACTGCGTCAAAGGGAAATGCAACGAGAAAAAAAATATGGCATTTGGCTCAAGTAAACAAACAATGATTCGATACGGATTTCCAATCGTTATTTTCCGCGATTCGGCACGCTATGCTGAAATTGTTAATAATAGAAAGTCTCTATTCATCCATATTTGTTGGTCGACAATTTTTTCTCTCTCTCTCTCTCTCTCTCTCTCTCTCTCTCTCTTCTGATCACTTCTCTATCGGTTCGTTCATCTGCCATTTTTATCGATGCACAAAAAAAAGGAGCGAAAAGGATAATTGATCTGGTCTTCTTTTGTGCTGATTTTCGTCCGAAAATTTATGGAAAAAAATTAACTTTTGTGAGTGCAACAATTCCATTCATTCGCATGTTTTTCTTCTTTTTCATTTATCCTTTTTTCCTCTCTCACTCTCTATTCAAACACTGAACTCTATTGTCGAAAATGCAACAAACGCCTATTGTGCACACTTTTTACTGTTCTATGCATGAACATAGATCGTTTTTTTTCTTTCGTGAATATAATGACCAGCAAACCGAACAGTCTTGATGTATGAGCGGAACGAATTCAAATTTGTTCCGTCTAGTTGATGGGATTGATTTTCAATTTAAACCTATTTTCCAGGTGCACGCATGAATTTTAGATATATATAGACACCTCCACAACACAATGCCATCTCGATGATCGTTGCAAAATCCATTTTTCGCGCCAATTTACCGATCCAACATCATACCGAAACAACATACACAAGATAATGCGATGGAACGAGATTTCGACACAAAATTTTTACATCGAGAAAGAAGAGCATTAGATGTGCTCACTTAATGAAAATTGAGCATACAAACTGTAATCGCAATCGGATTTGGTCTCTTCAACTGTATAATTATATTATCTCAGTGTAACCAAGGAATCGTCTACACCAATCTTAAGTATAATGTGTGTGTTTTGGAAACAACCAACAAATTTGTCACACATTTTAGACGGCCATGTAATTCACCGTGGAATCGAGACACATAGAGACGCAGCTTCATACGTTTATTCACATTTTGCACGGTGTGTCAGAATTTAACACTTGCCACGAGCGCTGTTGGACGAATGCGAGCATTTTGATTAAGTCAAAGGTTTATTTGGTGGAAAAGATTCGTAGTTGACTGGTGCCGAAGCACGTTTTGCGCCTAAGTAAAAATTGCATTTCAATGATGTGGGAAAGAGCTAATGCAGAACGAATTCTAATTCGTTTGTAAATAAGTATTTGCTATCTATATTCTATCATGTGTTCGTAAAATTGAACATTTTGTATGGTAAATCGGACGTTCAGTAGAAATTTAGGGTTTAAAATAATTCATGGAATTAAAAAGATGTTGGATAAGACCAATGGATTATGCAATTCGATCGCAAATCAAATTATCTGTATGGAAATTTGTCTAGACGTTCGCAGTTGAATTTCATACATGTTCATATAATTTTGGAGCTGTAGCTCTCAAAAGCGTGTACGCTTTTCAATTTAGAACTTTCGAATGCGCGAATGTATGGTATAATCGGATAAATGTGCAAAATGAAAGGGAATGTTCGCAGAAACAACCCTTTATGGATTAGATTCCTTAGATCGATTATTCAAACACCGTAATTGATTATGTTTTTTCAGTGTGCGGAATGTGCTCAAAATTCAAAAATTTCATAAATGGATCATATTTCTTAATATAAATTGAATTTATCGAATACTTTTATGCGACTCAAAGTAATCCTTCTGTGATATTTCGATTAATGTACCCAAAAATCCAAATTGATTGAACAAAATTATCCACAAAGCCTTAAACTAACAATAAAATAATTTGAGCTAAAAATTAATAACAGATCCTAGAGACACCCCGAAATCCAGGTCCTGAATAAACAAGTTTAAAAAAAAAACAGTTTCTACCCAAAAGGCACGAATCGAAAAATTAATTGGCATCATTGCCACAGAAAGAGATCATAATTAGAACGCACGAGCTAAAATCATGTTTTTATACCCAAACATTCGTAACGAATGTGTGGAAAAACGCAACAAAGCGTAAAAAGGATAACAAGTGGAAAATCAATTTCGCCATGGTTTGCTTTCAGTTTAGTGTCATCGGATTTCACACAAAATTGGTTTCGGTGTATTCTTCGGAAATGCGCTTCGCACAGACATTTCAATATCAAGCCATGCGTCTCGTTGCCAATGAGTATTTGGTGACGATTCAATATTATGATTCAATATACATGATTTCAGTGAGCGCTTTCCTATTTTTTTATGTGGATTTTCCTCATTTTTTCGACATTTCTTCACTTGTTTATGAAAAAAAAACCATTGAGGATTGGGCCAAAGATTGTATTGTATATATTTATTAGCTTAAGCTCTTTTGTTTACATTTATAAGTTGAAATTATCCATGATGTGTTTTTCACATTCTACTTTAAATGTGTTTAGTGACGGTTTTACTCTTACACTGTTTGCTAGTTCGTTATACATTTTTTAAAGATAAGGTAAAAAGTTCATGGAAAACTGCAATCTGGAATTCCGAAAATAGCAAAAATTGAAAGAAATTCAAAGAAAATGAAATCAGATTAATTGATCTGCATGACTTTTGATGTCAATTTTGCAAATAATAGCCTATGTGATCAGTGATTATCATTGATCACACACATATCGTAGTAAAACGACGATTTTTTAATCATTTGATTAGACATTCACTTCATAGAGAACAGAGAGCCTGTGTGAATATTCAATCGAAGTCAATCTAGTGACAAGCAGTACAATGTACAGTGTACACATTGTTCGAAGATTGAACAAAAATTGTTACATTTTGCCAAAAGAAGCATCCATTATTTCATAACTTATTCACACACACAAAAATCGCATTTTTCTTCAATATGAACACAGACTTTCGGTTTGTTCACAAAAATTTCGTTGATTTCCTGGAAATGTGATTTGCGCAACACAGAAATTGTTTGTCAATTCGGAAGGCTTTGAAACGTTTCAATAAGGTTTTTTGAGGCATTTTTCGGGTTTGTCTCTTTTATTCTAACTAAAATTATACCACTCTTCTTTTTTTTGTTATTATCGGCCTCAAAATCTTTGAATTCAATTGCAGCAAGTAAAAAATAAACAATATTTGCCGCTTTGTAATAATTCTAAGTGTTAACAATGATCGGCTACTGTCATTTCTCACCGACATAGAACACAATCTATTGTTCTATCGATGAACAATGTATTTTTTGCTGCCTATTTCTCTATTTGATGCCTCTGCCGAAGCCTTCTGTATTTTTTGATAATAATTACTACTGCAAAAAAAAATGTTGACAACAATACAAAAGGCGGCAAAGTTTACACAACGCTCAAAAGCCCAAACAATAACATGAATCGATCGCTAAAAACGGGTTTCATTGTTTTGCGTTTTGGCTGTTATGGGCTTAGATGTGTGCAAGTATTCAATTTATCGCATTCGGCATGATATATGATGCATTTTTCGGTGCTGTAAATGCATTGGCTCACTTTTAAAAATACCGATGCCTGGAATATGATTCAGGAGATGAAATAGTTTTTTTTCTTGTTCACTGTCGTCTTTTTTCGACATATAATAAATGGAAAATTAAGAACAGAGCAGGATGAAAAGGATTCGTGTGTTTTATTTGGCAAGATCGTATTTTTTTTCATTGTAAATATTTGTATCTAAAGGGAAAATTCGATCGAATGCTGAACAATTCAACAGTATATATGTACCCCATCTATTTTGCTATGCTGAAATGAAGAAGATGGAAAGAACAGTGAAAGGACAACCAAGCAAGTGATGGATGGTTTCATTGATTAACTTTATATCATATTAGTCTAGTTCGTTTGCATTTTTAAGCTCCAAAGTATCTAAAGATTGCTAATTAATCAAGTCACCTGAAATACGGTCACTCAGTCATCTGACGTAATATTATTTAATCGAAAGTTTTAATGCATTTGTTGCGCTAATAACAACTCATATCCGTGAAAATCCAATAATTAGTTATAATATGGGGCATGCAATATTGAAAATGAACAATTGTTTCGTCTTGCTTTTCGATGGGGAAATAAGCGACTGTGTGAATGCAATCACAAAGCTGGTAACAGCGAATTTTTTTTCTAAATTATCAACCAAATCTAACTGTGGATTGTAATTTTTTTAAGCTTTATTTAAACGAGCACTCTAGTTTGTACGTACCCATTTTTGTGTTGTCTTGCTTTGTAGAAACGTTTCATCTGAAAAAAGGGTTATAGTTAGGGAAACTTGAAAACCAAATTCAAACGAGTGGCAAAAATAATTCAATTGATTGAATTGAAATGAAAATATCAAACATGAAATTGGCATTATTATCATTGATGTTATATATCACCGTTGCATCAGCAATAAGATTCTTAACAAATCGAGAATCTCCCCGTGGAATTGGATTCAATGCTCCCAATCGCGACGATGTGAAAATGGTTGCAATCTTATTGGGTGATAAAGAGAATGGAAGTAAGAACTACTTGAAAGAATTTTTATAAATTATTTTATTTAATAATTCCTCTCTTTATTTTTCTTTTTGGAAAAAAGATGCAGTCTCCTGCGGTGGTGCTATCCTTACAAAAAAAACCATATTGACATCCGCATATTGTACATTTATTTGTAGAGATAAAAATTGTGAGGTTTTCGTTGGAGTGGTAGACGTTCAGAATGCAGGAAGCTCAAAAATTAATGTTATAGAAGTTAAAAGACATAATTCAATGCAGAGTCGACCACGAGCCAGTGATCCAAACCTTCCACCTATTGTTGATTTGGGTCTTGTTATAGTGGATAAAATACTAGGATCGCAATACGTTACATTTGCTAAACTGCCAGAAGAAGACTTCGGAAATGGAGCACTATTGATGCCTGGATTGGGAGATAGATTTGTAAGAATCACTTCGAGAATAATTTTTCGCTGCATTTTTCATGATTTCGAAAAAAAATAGGCATACTTAGAAAATTTGCTAGTTGGATCATCAAGAGGAGAAGCTTGTCGCGGAAAAGACGAGATTGAGTACGTTTGCCCGATTGTCAAAGATAAGGGTTCTCCATACCCTTGCAAAGATTTCGGTAAATACGCAATTACCTGGATTTTTACATAACTTGGTTAATTTGTTCCATTGGAATTTCAATATCTTTTCCAGGTTTTCCACTGATCTCTCGCTCAATTGTAGTTGGGATAGCTTCATTTCATAGTAGATGGGTAAAACGCTAAATAAAAAATAACGAATTTATTGCGTACTAAACATTTTGACTCTCTTTCATATTTCAGTGCGAACCAGGTATGCAACTTGTGAGAGTGAAAATCTGAGATTTATTTTGAATGTTGACCATTCAACAGCAATTTAATGTGTTATCTAAAAATCTGTAGACAAACCTCAGACGAATATGTCCTATATACGAGTCTATCCATATCTAAGTTGGATCAAAAGCGGTATTGTGGAATAGGACTTTGGTATTTGCTGCTGATGACATTAAACAGTGGCTTGTTTAGAATTCACAGCCAAAAATACATGTTTCGATATCAAATAATACGAATGATTCCATTTTTGAAGAAAAAAATAAACAGTTGAATTGTTCAAAAATGAAAATAAAACAATTTTTTTCAATTGAAACTTCATCCGTGTTTGTTGCAACTTGTATTGCTAATTAGTTTGACACAGAAATAATTTTCTTGGTTGATGCGTCATAGAACAGAAATATTGAGTTCATGGGCATTCATTCTTTTACTCTGCTGATAAGGGACTTATTTCAACGATTAATATTCAAACAAAAATAGCGACATTTTGAATTTATTCTCTCTGTTACTACTTTGAACATTTGAAAACATCTCAGTGTGTGCTACTAAAACGATCAAAATGTCAAGTGACACGATATTAGTGGATGTTATCTTTGGCGAAATATGAAATATTAGAAATATGCTGGAATTGAAAATAATGAACACAATGAAAAGGTGCAAACTGCTTTCATGCTGATATTATTGGCGCGTGCCATAGATATATTTGAGTGTGTAATTTGAGAAATTGTCCAAAATG